GGTGAGAAATCATGTGTTCAAAAATTAACTGTTTGGTTACGTGATTGGTATAAACATCATGGGCGTAGTGATGAAAAAATTAAAGCTAAACCATCCAATGGTTTCAATCGTAACGAAGATCCAGCTTTATTTAAAGCTGCACTTCTTAGTGGTCCACCTGGTATCGGTTAGTATATATATATATCATATATGAATTATTATTATTATTATTCTACGAATATTGAATCTTGATAGGTAAAACTACAGCTGCTCAACTTGTTTGTGAACATCTCAATATGGAATATATTGAAAAAAATGCATCAGATCAACGTTCAAAAAAATTAGTAGCTACTTTCTCAAGTGATTCACATAGTGTTGCTTCATTTACTAATAAATCAACAATGTCAAATTGTGTATTAATTATGGATGAAGTTGATGGTGTAGCTGGTAATGAAGATCGTGGTGGTATACAAGAACTTATTTTACTTATTAAACGAACTCGTATACCCATCATTTGTATTTGCAATGATCGTCAACATAAAAAAATACGTTCATTAGCTAATTATTGTTATGATTTACGTTTTTATCGACCAACTGTACAACAAATCCGTGGAGCAATGATGACAGTTCTTCATCGAGAAAATATTCATCAAATAAAACAAGAAACATTAGATGAAATTATAAAATCATGTAATCAAGATGTTCGTCAAACGCTTCATTCATTGAATTTATGGGCAATTGAAGGTGAAACAAATCCTAATGCAGCTAAAATGATTAATAAATCAGTTAATAATAATCCATTTGAATTATGTCGAGTATCATTTTCTGATGATTTACGTCAAAAATCTTTATCAGATAAATTAGACATATTTTTCTATGATTATCAATTAATGCCATTATTAATTCAAGAAAACTATTTACAATGTGCACCAACATTATCTAATTCAGATAATCATAAACAAAAAGTAACTGATCTTGAACAATTAAGTTTACTTGCAAAAGCTGCAGAAAGTATGTGCATTGGTGATGTATGTTCACAAATGATCTACAGTAGAAATGATAGTTGGTCATTATTACCATATCAAGTATGATTTAATTTATGAAAAATCTCTTAATTCGTATGGAAGACAGAATTTCTTCGAGCTAAACAGGATAAAAAAGTTTTGATGAGAAAACTCTGTCAAAGGATTAAAAGTATTAGAGATCATATTTTGCCGCCAAGTAAGAGACATTGATACTGTAGAAGTCTTAAAAAAGATTTATCTTTACGGGCTTTTATTTCAGACCTATGACTGGTACTTTGAATTTTTACTCCACAATAATGAAATATAAGATTAGTTTATTCTTCTATTGATTATAGGGAATTTTTTCAACTGTTGCACCATGTTCTTATGTTCGTGGTCATTTACGTGGTATGGTAAATTTTTCATCATTCTTTGGTCAACGTTCTCGCACGAATAAAAATGAACGATTATTAAATGAAATTGAAAAACATATTTGTCTGAAAATTGCATCTGCAAATAAACAACAATTTAATTTAGATTATTTATCTTATATAGCTAAAATATTTATTCAGCCATTACAAAAATTACAACAACAAGGAGTTGAACAATGTATTGCATTACTTGATGAATATTATCTTAATCGAGATGATTTTCAAACAATTATGGAATTAAATACATGGGGAAAAACAGGCAAAAATCCATATGATCAACTTGATACACAAACAAAATCTTCATTAACACGTATTTATAATAAAACTGCGCATCGAACGCCATATGCAGTAATTGATATGAAAAAATTGAAGAAATCAAAAGGAAATTTAGATGAAGATGATGGTGAAGAAAGTGATGGTGATGAAGAAGATAAAGAAAATGAAGAAGAAGGCGATTTGGAACAAGATGCAATGATAAAAATGGCTAAAAAACGTGCCGCAAAACCTGCTGCCAAAAAACCTAAAGGAAAATAGAAAAACTTTTCCTTAAATTTGTATTATTGTATATTCTTTATCTGTAGTGCTCAGTACTTTGTGCGTGTGATCGATGATAATTCGAATAAAAAAAAACAGAATATCTAATGAATAATCATGTTATCCATTATATTTTTATTCTTAGATCTTATTTCAATTGATGTATTGTAAATGCGTTTCTTGATCGCGCATATTTTAATTAAATTTATATAGAAATAATAGATAATATCAATATTTACCAAGTATAAAATTATATTCTTAAAAAAAGATTATGAGTACTATGATTTTTGAAATGAAAGATCGTAAAAATAATTGTGAGTTCTAGTTTGAGAAATATTAGACATTCTTAAATGTTCATAATATCTTTTGCTTTAATGGAAACAATAAATTTATATTATACATTTTTCTTAATCATAAAAATACTGCTGTTTTTAATTAAATTAAAAAGTAAATAAAAGAGAAGTCATAAAAACAAAAAAACAAAAATGTGTTATATTTTTGCTAATATAGATAGAATCAATAGATGCCGTACAAAATATTTTGATATTGTCAATAAAAGTCATATTACTTTGATTTTTGTATGTTATTATCAAATCTTTCTCATTAGCTGTAATGAACAAACCCATAAATCAAATCTTATCACGTTTGCTTTGAATATATTATATAATGACAAAATAACAAGATTTATTATGTCATATTCTTTAGAATTCTCCAAATAGATAACTTGTTAGGAACTATATATTTGTTATAGTCTTATATTTTCAAGTTGTTAAGATTTTACAATGATTGAATCGATATCTATAACTAAATCAATTTCTTCAAATAAGTATATTAAATTATAGACACTTGTTTTTAGTTGAACATGTGTACAATTAGAAACAACACATATGCGATGATGATGATGATCGTAGCTAATTACAACGAACTGATTGATGTTATCGATTCTATTCCAATGAATGCCGAAGAATGATATGTGCATGCGTGCGTGAAAAAAATATGATACAGAAGTTCACCGACTGCAGTTCTTTACTGTATCATTATTATTGCACACGCACATATCATTTGATCGGCATCTCTTGTGGTTCGAACAACTGGTGTGTTGTATGTTTTTTTAATGCCCATTGACCGTTGGGCATCACACATAATTAGTTGTATTACAGCAATATGAGCATTAAAAATATCATAGTGTGCTGATAATTAGGCTTTCGAAATGACATTTGATTATGAGGTCAATGCATCATCTTGTTTATATATACATATACAGCTTATTAAAATAAATTTCATATTAACTAATATTTATCAATGATAAGAGTATTTTTTATTCTCGATAGAATTCATTTATTACAATGAATATATATGTAAATTGAAAGAAACCACAAAGAAGTATGATATGTATGAATAAATGTGTTACTTCAAGGTAACACTAGAAACAGATTAATGTCAATTCTAGAAGTGACCAATATGAAGTCCTTCAAATTCTGATTGACAAGTATAACAAGTTGCAAAGAATTTACTGTATGTGACATGATGAATCGATTCGTTTTCATATATCGTCTATTTAATGACTATGATTAAATTGGGCGTGGTTGCAGACATACACATCCATACATGTACATACACTCACACTGACTCTTTTAACTTATCAAATGCATTCACAGACATAAAGGATGGCACTTCCTTGTATTGCGTAAATGTCTATCACGCAAGTCATATACAATAGAATCGAGAAAACTTTCTCGTCTAATCATAAGGAGGTGCAAACATTTCCGTTGACAATGAAGATAGCACTTTTAAGTGTACTGACCACATCCGAATCTTTCTTTTTTCTTTAACTAACAAAGAAAAAACTAATATGTCCTCAGGACTAACATTTTTTTTCCTCATTTCTTTTTTTTTCTTTTTCGTTTGCTAAGTAAATGGAAAAGTCACTAACATGATTGTGATGTAGATGACAGAGAAAAAAAGGAACTTGATTCAATTGTGTATATATGTTAGCATTTATCCATTATGTAAAAAAAATCGAGAGTACTTCCTTACATCATAAATTTTCCTTTTATATGTATGTGTATTCATCGTTTTTTATCTCTATTTTAACTCAATACCAAAAGATTACTGATCCAATTCTAATCTAATCGTAAATTAGATGAAAATAACAAGAAGTTTTAATCCTTATAATTGATTAATTGATAAGATTATATATGAAGAAAAAAAAATGAGGGATTTATAAAAAAAAAAAAAGCATCAGGTAGGCACAGACACCGTAAGGCAACATTGATAATGAGAAAAAGAAAGCTGCTTTTCACATATTTCTTGTTTCTATAAATAACTATCGGGCATTAGTTCATGAAAGTGAAGAGCCTGTCAGTAAGAATGTGATGACTTTCAAGTGGATGATGCTGCCAAGACCACCACTTTTCACACTTATACTTAGACACTACAATACCATGTCTATCATTCACACACAATATACATATACATATATATATACATATATAAAGTGTAATTATTGGTTATAGTAATCGCTCGAGGTGGTGTTAACTAGACACCCTATTTGTTCATTGATGATAGTAGACAATGTACGTCTCAAATGATGTATGACTCGCCACATATCTCAATCAATCGCCGCATTTATATATACATACTTTGCATAACTTATTATTGTGAATGACCTGTCTATATTACCTTATTATGCATTGCTAAATAGAATAAAAACGGATGAGACTTTAATTCTACTATCTAACCTGTCAAATAAAATTTAGCATATGAGATTAGATATAAATAGAAAAGAAGTCGATTGATAAATAAATCGGCGACCTTTTCAATATAGTTCATTACATCAACGACACTGAAAGTAGCTACATATCTAAGAATAAGAAAGGGCAAGATCACACACAAATGTGTACATTAGAAATAATGGTGACACATATGTACGTCAATGATTGATGAGTATTGAGCAATGATCTTTACTAGGAACGATCAAATTAGCAATGTGCCAAAAAAAGTGATATATTCCATAGAGATTTTGATATGTGTATATATATATGTAGGTAATAACCTTGTATTATTCGGACAGGTCATTAAAAAGAAAGAAAGAAAAGAAAGAGTTAAAGCTGTTTATGGTCATTTAACAGACTTCTTACATTCTCGTGCTCATATTTCTTTTCCCTAAGGGAACGAACGTACACATATAAAAATCATATTGATTTAACTTAAGCATCACACACATACTCAATCATATGATGTAATAATTCACATTGATACCTGAATAGAAAATGACTTTTTTTTTTTCTATTTTGTGACAAAGCAGTAAAACAACCAATTGTTACATTTAGAATAATAATGAAAAATCTACATTCTTTATGTCGTCTTTTTCTTTTCAATCATCGCTTATCATTTTAATAAATGATAAAAAAACAAATGTACAACAAGTAGAAAAAAAAGAGAGCAAAAGAAAACATAAAAGCTCGATTGTATCTGACCACACATACAAATACACATCGACATACAAATAATGATTATTATCAAGAGACATAGATTAAAAAAAAACGAGGAAAAAGTTAATTTATTCGTAAGATAGAAAAATGGCACTTTAAAGTAGAAAACAGCAGGATATAGATCATCATCATAATCATCATCTTCAAAGGTTTATAGACATTCGGCATATTTCAATCACCGGCAAAAAAAGAAACATGTGTATGACATCTGTTACTAAAGATAATATTCGTTAAGCGGTGTAATATTTCGATAATTAAACGATGTTGTCGAACAAAGTACCTTACGACATTCATCATCATTCTGGAAAAATTCAACTTTTTTATTTGATTGATCTACTGTTGATTTTAATTGTGTACGATATTGTTGTGTTGTTCCTGTACGTCTATTAGGTTGACATGTTGTTATTAAACTGTTATTATTATTAGCAGTAGGAGAAGAAGATGAAGATGAAGGAATTGAAATTGATGGGTTTGTCTCATCACTATTTGTAGTACTATCTTTACATAAAATAATATAATTTTCATTAGACGACAGGAGAATTTTGCCAGTAGCTTCCGTCATTGTCGCTGCTATTGGTATGTCTTGTTTGACTAATTTATTTCCTGTTGACTGATGATGATGACATACATCCATTTCAGATGATCCATAACAAGAATCATTATATGATGAACCTGTATCACTATTTCCATTTGTCTTTATTGATTGTTGTAATTTGCTATAAGGACTGTTCGTATTTATGTCTAGATTAGAAGAAATAACAAAAGAGAATTAATAAATAAGTTTCAAATAGAAGATGAAATATAGTGCTTACCAGTTGCAAGGCTACCATCGCTGAGTAAACAATGATTCTAAAATAAACGAATGAATGAATGAATGAATCCCATTTAGCAGATTGACTTTATATTCTATCTTGGATTAGACAATGAATAAATGGAAGGTCCCATTTGGCACGTGCATTTCGTTTATATGAATAGATATGAATGTTTGTGTCTGTCTGGTATAATGAAATTTGAGATATGATCATCTTTTGTTCAAACGTTGTTCATTTATTCATCATCTTACATATCAACATATTAGGTAGGCGAAGAAAATTGGGTCAATGTACAATTGAACTTATTTCTTGCACTCTATTGACTCAAGTGCTTCTCATCGAGTTCAAGGTTAAAGCAACCATTTATATGTTACATCGTATCGTATTCTTTTATTTTTGGAATATATATCATTGCTGATTGAAATAGATTTCTTCTTATTCTTGAAAGAAACCTCTTAGATATTCTATTTAAAATGTTGTTTTTATACTCATGTATCATATGTACTTTATATAAGGTTGGCAAAACTTTTGTTGCTTATTTTACACAATGATTATGGTGTTTTACTATGAAGAAATAGAAAAAAAAAGAATCTGAAGGTTTCTAATCATGTAATACGACACGTACGGTAGATTGCACACATACATACATGACTCTTTTTATGTTCTCGTATTCATTATTCTATCTCATTTTTCTAATGAGTAAGATCACGACTCTGAAATAAGAGCTAATCACGCATTACTTACCTCCGTGAAACAGATCCGATCTTTACTTGCTCTTGACGAAGAAGTGAGAAGAGTAAGGCGTTTTTGTGATGTATTCATTATTGGTGATGGTGATTGTTTAACAAGTAGTTTATTTTGTTTTGAATTATGTTTTGATATTTTTCGTTTTCGACTTATAATACAAGCAACGATACAGACAATAAATGAACATAGTATCAATGACATTACAATAATAAAAGTAATAATCATTTCTGGTGTAAGATCATGAAAAGATAAATTTTGAAATTTTTTATCGAAAAATTTTGACGATGATAATTGAGACGCTATACTTAATGGTATTGTATCCGAATAAAGAATAAAACGTATAGTTTCATTGGTTGATTTTGCTAATGGATATTGATCATTATCATTAATTAATACAATAAGATCAATAATACCTGTACATTTTTGTTTTTTATTTAAATAAATTGTTCCATTTGATGATAATTGTAAAAAGGTTAAATTACAATTTGATACTTGTCCATATTGATATGAGATAAAACTTGATGGTGAACGATCACGATCACTTGCATTTAAATGTATTAAACTTGTATTATCAATATTAATAGAAATAAGACGTGAATGTGGATGAAGTTGTGGTGAATATTCATTGATTGGTTTTAGACAAACTTCAATTTCACTAGTAGAACTTAAACCACCTTGATCTTTAGCTGTAACTATGGCATTTATACAAGGATGTGTATCGTAATCAAGTAGTTTACGTACAAAGATTTCTCCTGTTAGAGAATTAATCATCAAATCTGATGACGTAATTGAATAATTTATTAAATTATCATCACGATCAGTAGCTTTAACAAAACCAATAGATGAATTAATTGAAATATTTTCATCGATATTTTGAAATGAATATTTTTTTTCTTGAAATTCTGGTGTATATTCATTTTTATCAATTACATTAATATAAACTGAAACATCACTTGATAATTGTGATGGATATTGTCCATGATCATTTGCACGTATTGTTAAATTATATTCTGATTTCAATTCTCGATCAAGATTTTTTACTAAAAATAATTCACCTGTTTTTTCATTTAAATTAAATAAATTTATATATTCTTTAGTAATTAATTCATATGATATTTGACTATTTTCATTTATATCTGCATCAGTTGCTTGCAATTGTAATATAGGTTGTAAATATTCTTTTTCTTCATCAATTGATACATTATAAAATGATTGAGAGAATATTGGTGGATTATCATTAATATCCGTTATAATTAATTCAAGTTCACGTTTTGTTCGATGACGAATTTTTAAACCATTATCTTCAATAATTAAACTTATTGAATAATTTGATTTCTGTTCACGATCAAATAATTGTCTAGTATATATAGCAAACATATTATTTATTGTATTGGTTAAATTTAGCTTTGGTTCTAATGGTTCAATCCAACAATTAACTTTACCATTTAAATTTGAATCAAAATCTTGTACAATTATATGCATTAATAAGGTATTGATTGGTGTTTGTTCACTTATATATAATGTATTATTAACTAAATGAAAATATTCTGATACACGTAGATTCATTATTGGTATATTATCATTTTCATCTTCAATATTTATAATAATAACTGTATAAACAGGAACTGATACTGGACCGGAATCTTGTGCTGTTACTTGTATACGATATTCTTTATATTGTTCATAATCTAGAGATTGAAGAAGATATAAATCTCCTGTTTCAGAATTTAATTGAAATGTTTGACGAATTAATTCTGAAACTTGAGGACTAAAATTATAAGTTATATGACCATTTTCATTTGAATCATTATCTATAGCATGTATACGAAGTAATGATTTAGTTAACGATGGAAGAATATTTTCAGATATATTTAATGTATAAGGATGTTGTTGATCAAATGAAGGAACATTATCATTAATATCACTTATTGATATATGTATAGGTATTGTTGATGTTAAATTTCCTCGATCGCTAGCAGTTAATTTAAATTCATAAAAATCGCGTGTCTCACGATCTAATGGTTCAGTTACATTTAAAGCTAGAAGATAAAATCAGATTAGTATTTATATAAATAGAGAAGAGAAAGAAGAGGAAAGGATATATATATATATTCATACCAATTTGATTTGAACCAAATGAAACAAGTTCAAATGGAATTTTTGTCGTTTTTTCCAACCAATAAACAAGGTCATCATCTTCACCATCCTTGTCTGTAGCACTTGGAATGGGTAACACGTGTCCAACTAGAGAAACAATATACGAAATAAACATCTGCTTCCATAATGAGTCTCATAAGCTTTTACGAGAGAAAAAAAATCCGTTTAAAACGTCCGTCACAGGCTCCCCAATTAGCTTTCAGAATGTCAGGAACTCATACATTAAAGGTCATTCATTGTGTAACAAACATACATACCAGGCACGCCTTCACTAATATTAAGTTGAATAACTTGACCATTAGATGACATATCTAAAAATTGTGGTCGAAATTCGTTTACATCTTCAACAGTTAATATTAATGAAATAATATCACGTGGTTGACCATTTTCTTTTAATACAAAATCCATTTCAATTTCACATGGATGACATAAAGAATTTTCACATAATTTAATCCGACAAAATTCTTCACGATCAATTAAACGTCTTGTACGTAATTTTTGTCCGTCAACAAGAAAATATGTTGTATATGGAGAGTTAGAATTTAGAAATTCAATTGATTGTTGATAATTAACAGATAACATTTTATCGATTGATGTTATTGTATAATACAGATCAACATTTTCTTTAACTGATGCTCGATATTTTAAACGTGATGATAATATTGATGAAATAAATAAAAATAATAAAATCAAGAAAAAACGTAACATTTTTTCGATGAACCTAAACGAACATTAAAAAAAAAGAAAAATCTGGTATATTTATATTAGATAGATATATGTATTTATTTTTTCTAAACAATGATAAATGAATAATGAGAAAAGACAACGATGCTGATCTATATGGCATCGTTTATATCTCTTTTCCGGTCTGATTATCTTCTCTTTCTCTTCTTCTCCTCTCTCTCTCTCTTTCGCTCTTTCCCTTGGTACTATCGTTTTCTTTATGATGATAAATTCCGTTTGTTTTCTCTGACCCTGATCTTTTCTTAGATTGCCCTTTTTATTTTTGGGTAACTATTAAATAAGTAAGGATAAAAAGCAAGAAATCTAGTTTTATACCTGTCTTGAAATGCCATCGATTCAACAAGTTTCTGATTTATGAGTTATGTGTATTCGATGATCGACGAGTGTCTGTTCAACAAAAAAAAACTGCAAGTAAAGAATAAGAAAAGAAAAAAAAAGAGAAAGAGAGTGAGAAAGCGAAAGAGAAAAGGAGGGAGGGAGAGAGAAAAAGAAAAATAATGTTGAACAAGAAAAGAACGAGAAGAAGAAAAAAAAGTATCAGGAAGGAAGTATCTTACTGACCAAGCAGACTACTCTGGTACTGTTTGTTTGATAAGAGATCATCTAAATGCCAATTTATCTCAGAACAGAAGTTAGTAGATGAGCTAATAATCTTTATACTATATATATATATATGCATATACAATCATATACATACAATGCATTGTGAGTAGAGTGACAAACGTATTGTCTGCGTGAGTAATCAACCTCGAATAATTGAACCCTGATGAGTTGATAATAGAAAATAGTTATAGTACTAGTAAAGTTGAATGATGGTGTTCAACTGACTATCTAGTTTGTTAGTATATTGTTTTACGGTCTTTCTATTTAAAATAACATCTTTAATATAACAACATTGATGAGAAAAGAAAGATGATGAAAACGACGACACCTCCTCAGGGCTCTTTTTCAAGCTCATATTTAATTCCCATGTGAGATTGTGATTAACATATGGATTTATGTAATGATAATGATAATGATGAGCATCAGAAAAAAGAAAAGAATTTAATGAAGTAGAATACATCATTGACATAAGCAGTTAAGTGATAATAATTGATTATTCTACGACCTATTTCTTTTAGTTATACTAAAACAATAAAAGTGGCGCAACATATTTTTCTACGCGTCAGCAAGCAAATAAATGAAGAAGTAATAAGAGACTTCAATGTGTATGTATATGTATGTATATATATACGTTTGTATGGTCCGACTATTATCATTAATTCGTCCATTCAAGGCTGTCACTAATGTTTGCAACAGACGACAAATGCCACAGATAAATCAAGGATTGTATTAGATCTGATTTCTTTAGATTCTTTTTTTCTAATTAACTTGCTACAGTCAGTTAACAATTCATAGTTATTTTCAACCATTTCATAATACATATAAAACAAATTATAATGACATAGATAATTCGAGAATGCCAATGGGTTTATTCATAATAGCTATAGTATGTACAATGTGGGTGACATTTTCTCTCGTTCTTATTTGCAATCCATTAGTCGGACTATGTTAGTAGTGAAATAGTAAAAGGAAAAAATATTAATAGTGGACATTGCCTGTTTGTTTGCGATAGAAGAAAGAGAAAATGTGCACGAACATGTTCTTGAACACTCTTCTAGTCAAGCGAGAAAAATTGACTTCCTATTTTGATTTAGCACTCACATTCGGTTATGTCCATCATCGTTCAAATGCAATTATCAAAGAAAGACGAGACAGACGAAAGCTTTCGTGTTTGATTTTTAAGAATACGACAACAATCACTAACCATCTGTATGTGTCAACCCAATTGTCTCAATTGGTCAAAATATATAAAGTGCCGGCGTCATCATAAATGATAATGCCGGCGACAAGTCGATAAAATCAAACATTACACATTCCGTCAAGGCTTTTACACTAATCTATTTCCGCTCATCAAACTAACATTTTGAAGAAAATGTTCTTTGCCTACAAATCAATACTGACAGACTTTCTTTCCGTTATTAATCTCAATAAAAACTCTTACGAATCTAATATCTCTCTGAGTTTGTCTATGTGTATGTGTATAAATATAAATGTAATTTGATCCAAATAAACGAATGACCATCGTGCTATTGTCACACTCTCTCGAGCAAGTATATTTATCACGCACCGTAAATAGAAGAACGACAAATAAATGAATGGACGCGTGTGATTATGATTGAACCAAATGCTGATCAGTTCTTGAATTTCTTAGCTCGGCATGAGTCCTTTCTTTTTTTTTCTCTCATCACTAATCGAATTGAAGAAGGTCTGTCATTGAAAAATGAATATATTCTATTTCTAAACTTATCATCATGTGTTAATAGAGATTTCAATCTGTTTGATACCTATTTAATCGAAAAATGTGATGACTTGTCATTGATTCAATAAACGGAACGGTCAACTTTCATTTAAACTAAAATGAGGAGAGAAGAGAAGAGTGGGGAGGAGAGAAAGAGAATGAGATAGAGACGGATAATTAAAAATACGTTTCCGCTTTCTTCTTCTCATATTACAAAAAATTGAAAAAGTAACTTAGATTTTTATCATACAATAGTAAAGATGATCATAGTGACCATCACAGCATGTACGGAAGTGTCTTCTGGTTTAGTGAAAAAAAAAAGAAAAAGATCTATATCATGTTCATGAATAATGTTCACACGTTTTCTTTTTATCCTTAATGTGCCGTCATGAAGAATGAATTGGACTGAAATTAGTGTGGGCGTGTGTTTGTGGAAGTACAAAACGTCCTTGTCATTTGTCTAGTCTAACTCGTGCCACGATGAGACATGCCTTCCAATAATATAGCCATTGTCCATGGTTACAATGTCTTTTTCTTTTTCTTATTTATAATACTAATGAAGCTAGTGTGATTATATATGTACACATACGATGTTGTTTTTTTTTCTTTACTATAAAATCTCAATAGCTTCTTGAAAAAAAAGAAG